GCGCGGCCCTGCTCTGCCCTGCCCTGCCCTGCCCTGCCCGACGCCCCCTCACCCTGTCCCACGGCCGGGGGCTCCGTGCCCCGCCGGCTGCAGCTCTTCTCTCCTCCCGCGCCGCCGCGATTAAAAACTGTCGCCTTTTATCCGCTCCTTCCCCAAAGAGGGATCCGGGGGGCCGGGCCCCCCCTCCCCCCGGCCGAGCCGCTGCCTGGTTACCTGTCGGGCGGGGTGCGCGTCCATCCACGGGAGTTGCTTGGAAGGGCTTGTCTGTAAAGCGGAGCCCAGCCAGCGGAGCACCATCAAGCGGCATTTGCACCCGACGCTCCCGTGCACCAGGAAGGAGATCGCGTAGCAGCCGTACTTTACTGCAGCAGCTTTTGCAGCAGATGTGCGCCTGTCGCTTGGTTGCGGTGCAGCGGCGCAGCGTTTGGGGAGAGCGTGCCCCGGGGAAATGGCCCGAGGGGTTTCTGTGCCACCGACGAAGTGCAGCAGAGGGCTGTGGGGGAACAGTATTGACTGAGGCACAAAGACGTGTGTCGGCTGAGCAGGTCCTAAATCTAAGCTACTCAAATCTCACACAGCTGATTTATTCTTTTTTAAAGGCTGTTGCAGATTATTTCTGAGGCAAGGGGGAAAAAAAAATATAGAAGAGCAGGAAAAGATGCATATGCACAGTTTTAGCTAAGTTTTTAAATTCGGGGGACAATGACTGGGAGGCAGCCCAAATCAACTGCTGGAGGAAAAAGGCGTGGAAGATGAGAAGCAGACACAATCCCCAAATGCTGGTTTGCCATTTCCTGCATAGAGAAAGTAATGCACTGCTTAGATCTATCTAAACTATGGTGGTGGTTTAATTGTACAGTGTATAATTTTTTTTGGCTGCTAAGTGCTTTAGACATGGCTGCCTATGAAGGCAGCAACCAATGAGTGGCTGATGCTAAAACATAAACATGGTGAGAGTTTTTAGTTCTGACCAGTTGTGGTTAACTGATGAGCAGCCTGGCCTAGAGACACACAATTCCCTCTCTCCTTTGAAGCTTTTTCCTTTATGCAGGGGTGACTAACCTGTAGCTCAAGTGCAGCTCATGTGCCACAGCTTTTGTGGTAACCAACAATAAGATGCTATTAACGTGGAGGCTGCTTGATAAGCACTTGTGGGAGGGAGCCAGCTTGCTAGGGCCAGTAGGGTTTCCAGAATTGTTGGGATTTGGCTGCACGCAACCCCCCCCCCCCACACCCCTTTCTTAATGGTTCTGAAGGCCTGTGGGATGCTCGTGTCGTTTCCCTTCAGTGACGGAGAGCTCTCCTCTATTTTCCGAGATATGTGGGATATATCTTATCGGGACAGAAAGGGTGGTCACTTCTACTCTTTCAGTTCTCCGTTGTATTTAAGGCAACATACTATGGGCCCAGAAGAAAAAAAAACAACCTATAATGTGAAACTTTTTGCAAATACATTTTAATTATTTTAAATGTATTTGCCCAATGGCAAATACTGCAAGTTGTTTCAAGTTTTGTTCATTCCTCGTTTTATCAAGAATTTGACATTTGAGCTATGGGCTGTGTGATGCTTCAGTGCAGCCCCTTGTTAGCAAAATCAGGACATGCACCTGTGCCTTGAAACACATATTGTCTATGAAACACAACCTGACAGGTCTCCTTTCACCTCTGTCCTGCAAGCTGGTATACTTCTTCAAATATTTGATGCCCTGCCTTTGCATAGTAATTTACCTCATAAAATTTCAGATGTGTTTTTTTTAATACAGTTTGTTCAAACTTCTAAGGTACGTAGGCACCTCTGACCTACCTTTGATGTTTTAGAGGCACTATCTTTTGCTACAAAGCAAAAAATTTGCCAAATTTTAATTTATGTGTTTATTATTATCATAGGAGATAGTAGCTCTGGGCATGACACAAAGTGCTGCTTTATTTGAATGCAGCAACAGTCCAGAAAATTTACAATAAAGTACGAGGTTCAAGGCAACGGGAAGTTACAAGTAGACAGAGCGGCACAATAATACTGTGTCATCACTGGCCTAAGCCAAACTCTTGCTGACTGTTAGCAGACATGTTCACTACTCAGTGAGTCGGCCGAGTACTTGTACATCTTCTGAGCACTAATGTAGAAAGACGAAATGAGTAGGAAAGTCCATGGCTAATAGTCAGCGTCCCATCAGGGAATGCCACGCTTAAGTGTTACAAAATGATAAGGTAACCTCAATTCCAAAGATTTCTTAAGAATGAAGAAACCCAGAAGTTTGTTTTTAATCTCTTCATGAAATGTTACTTTACAATAGGGATTCACACCTAAAGCAGCTTCTCCTCCTGTTAAAACCTTGCTCAGTTTTACATCCCCCGTCGGTAAATTTTGTCAATCCATGAGTAGTACAAGTCTCAAGGGAGCTGTGTAAAGGGGATGCTTCAGTAGATGGCACTCTCCCGCTGAGCGAGGATGAGCAAATAACTCAGCCAAGGAGTTTGATGCAGTGAGAGCAACTTCCTTTATACTCTACAGAAATTGCAGTGAATGCAAACAAAGCTCTGCCTAACTATGCAATGAAGTGACCCCTGGCAGTTTTTCACAAATTTGGATCTATCAAGCCCTCACATCTGGCTTCCTCACTGCTTAAATGACTATAGTCTGTTTCTGTTCAGCCTGAATTCTTCCTGAAATCTTAATGGTGAATATATACATACACACACATATATATTAAAAAAAAACAACATATATATAAAAGATATATTTTAAAAAGTTTAGTAGTAATGTAAGTTACACACATCAGACTCCGGGTTTAGAACTGTTCTGCTTCCTCAACCATTTTTTTCTAATTCACAATTTTATTTTACTATTCTGTCAATGGTAGATCCAGTTTAAGAACTTAATACCTTTGGTTTGTTGATTTTTTTGGATGTTATTCTGAAGCCACAAAATTTCATAGATCCAGTTTAAAGAGCAGTTGCACTGAATTAGTACAAGCGACGAGGCCTTAACTGCAGGTATGGGGACAATAAAGACCTGCTAGGCATTAGGGGACCTATGGCCTTTTAAATCAAATCTGTTGCTAACCAAGCAGTAATGCACAGCCATCATCTCACAGCTTTCTAAACTGTACAGTGTTTTCCTCACCCCTGAACAGAAGTTTTTTGTTGAAGAAAGAAGACAGTGGAAGAAATGTATATAAGACAAAGGTTGCAATAAAAAATTACATGGGACAAATTCATAAAACGCAAATTTGATTAGTTCAATTTCTTGAAGTTTTGGATTCTTGAGTAATATACATATATTCTTTCAATTTACTGCTTTTTAAGCATTCCTTTAAGTATCTGTTTTCTTATTTGACTGGCACACAAGTCAAATAAGACTCCATATTTTCTCAGTCCCTGCCTCTGTCCTACACTCCCCAAAAATCTTTTCCACTGATTAAAATCACAGTGATAACAGTAATTCCAAAATCCAGAACCTGAAGCTATCATTTTCTTCCTTTAAGAGGGAAGCATTTGCTGCCATAGCTCAAATAAAGCTGTTGACCTCTGTTTTTTTCCAATATTCATGTCAAAGCTTGAGGGTTTTTTGGGCCTGTTAGAATGAAGAGGCCCCAGGTAATGTATGAAAGAGGACTATAAAAGAGTATTTGTGTACATCTCTCCAGTACCAGTCAACTTTTGAGCAATCGAAAGTTATGCACCGTTGCGAACTAGATAAAGGAATTTCTGTTACAAGAAGTGGTTCAGGCAATGGCATGCTGCATGAGTGAAATGGCGGATGAATAAATATATTTTTAGATTTTCTGTTCTTAATTCAAACCAAAACAAACCTGCTGCAAGTGTTGAATGCTTAAGGGACTGTGCCCGAAAACAATATTTTCTGTCCTTTGCAGAGAAACTACACAGCAGATAAAATGCTGGACCAGTGGGAGCTCTCTGTTGAAAGTGCCATTTAGCTACAGCATTCATCTATTATTTGGCAAATAAATTTAAACTTCCAAATGCATTTTATACAGAATTCCAAATAGTCTTCATACAGTAAGGTTACTACTTGGAAGTCTCCTTTGCACACAACTGAATGGAAATGGTTTGGAGAGGTTTTTTTTAACACTTTACAAAGGAAACACTTTGTAAACACTTCCAAGGGAAAAAAATCAGTTCCTTTGAAAAAAATCCCTTGGAAAAAAAACCAGGGTGTGGGGCTTCTACTATTTGGAACATGTTCTCTAGAAGAATAAAAGCAAAATGGTTTAACAATATTACGGTACTACTAATTTTTTCCCCTTCCACTTCCACAGTCTTGAGCTGACATTTTGTTCAAGCAGATAAGGAAACATACCTAGGTCATGCAACTAATCAAAAACATTGGGTTTATGGTTGCAACCTTTACCTTTACAGCAGCTATTGTGAATTCAGAAGAGGTTTGAAGACCCCCTTCTACACTAGCTTTCAAGTAGCAGTTTCAAATCAAAGAAGAACAATTTCGTGACTGAATCATCAAACTAAGTATTAGGACACCTGAGTTTTATGCCTTTAGGCAAATTATAGCCTAATTTTCAGGTGTGGTGCATTTCTTAACTCCCATTTATTTCAAATGGAGTTACAAGAGCTTGGCACCACTGCAACTTGTTTTTAAACCATTTTGGGAATATCTTCCATACAGATACATTGAAAGGCTGTTTTAATGTTTGTAATACATTTTGAAATGCTTAGTAAGAATATGTTACAGAAATGCAGTCATTACTAACAAGTGTCTCATTGAAACAAGTCCTGGTTTTTTCTCATCTCCATGCAGTACAGTTCAAGTTACCTTAAAAAAAAAATCTCACAACAACTAAACCTTACCGTTCTGTAGGCAGGACACAGCAAGAGTCAGAAGGTGCATGTGATGGGTTCCCAGGGATCTGCCACCTCACTGCTTTTAGGATGGAAGCCGAAGGGTGGAAGATCACGAGCAAAAGGTGAAAAGCAAGTGGTGGCAGAAGCAGGACCTGACAGTCACATGGGTTCCCTCTATTTTAGAAGATCCCTACTGAAAGGATCCAGAAGCCGTGGTGAGAACATACATAGGCACTTTAGCCTCACTTTTGATACTATTAAGAAGCCAGACAGAGAGCAGAACTCGGTGGGCTCGCAGAGCTGGTCAAGGAAGTAGCCAGAAAAATCAAAGTCTTGATTCTTTGTAATGGATTGCATTGTGTAATAGAGGTCTCATACCTTTTGGTTTATGGGTGTAGGTGGGTTTGTCTGTGCCGCGTGGTATTTGCGTTTAGGAAAATTACATCGTGTAAGTAAGAGAAGAAATAGCAGTAGCTGGACAGACCAGTGAGATTGGGTGAGCCTGTTCATCAGTGTTTGGAGTTGGGTGCAGAACAAAGGGTTGATTTTCAAACATGATTTATTTAGAAGCTTAAGATCTATTAAAGGACAGTGAGGCTAAAACTTACCAATAAATGTATCAAATGCAATGGTTGGAATAAATCCATCAAATCCATGGGTAGAGAGAAGTTAATGAAAGTGATCAACACTCAGCAGACCAGTACCTACTGGTTTCATAATGAAGGTGATCTTGAATCAAACCAGATTTTACTAGAAACCTCAAGAATATTACAAATGTCCCTTCATGCTACATTAATTAGACCAAGGTCATTTGCAAAACTGTTCAACCAAGGGTGGGCACATGCACCAGACTGGTGAATTAAGCAAAAGGGTGGAGCAAAAGGAGAACTGCTCTTTTTCCTTTTGCTTCCTTTTTCAGCATGAAAGCTGCAGATGGTTTTTGCATCCTTGTATTGCCAGCTTATCCAGCCCACTCTGCAGGATTTGCTTGACAGGAGGAAAACATAGTTCTAAATGCATTTGGCCACTGTATTTTTTTTTTTTTTCAGTTTTCTATTCTTGCTGATTTGCAAAATCTCAGTTGGCTGAGTTAGGAGTTGTTTGCCCAACAGGGCCTTTGTTCTGGTCTGTGCTTCAGCAAAAACTGGAAAAACCTGTTTGTGTGCTCCCTTTTTTTTTTTTTTTTGTCTTCCTCTCCCATTGGCAGCTGCAGCTTGTACACATGCAGACAAGGTGGTGCCTACCTTTCATGTGGAAAGCTGCCTTACAAAAACAGGTCGCTTTTTCCATTATCCCAGAGCTTTTCTAGCCTCATGAAGGCTTTGGTGGATGCTCCAGGTGTTAAAATCTGTTTGTTCTCCACAAATGTGTTTAGGTCATCGTTTTACTTTTCTTCAAGCAAAGGGAGGGTGTTTGAACGTGGCTCCAGTCCAGCCTTTTAAATAATATTTTGTAGACTCCGGGAGATCCGCAGAAACCAGCCTTGTTGTGCAATGTAGTTTTTTGGATGCAGAAGCTTGCCTGCTTTACAGTAGCTGCACACGGTGTAGTGATAACATCTGTAAGATAGGACAAACACTGAGGCAGCAAGTTAGTGCAAAACGTGGACAAGTTGAGAAGGAACTTTTATTTCCATCTCCTTCCTTTTCCTCTTGCTTTGTGCTGCTGTTGGAACAAGAATGGGTCAACTGTGTGGACGATGCATGCAGCTGCTGCGGGACTTTGTGGCCTTTGTTCAGAGGATGTCGTCCGACTTGGTGCAGAGCATCAAGGAATGCGTAACTCTGATAAGCAAATGCTCCTGCTTAAAACAAAACAGCTCTAAAGCCAGACAGCTGTACAAGCCTATCCTGCAGCCTCATGAGAGGGTGACAGCACAGGAGTTTCTGCAGCATATTGAAACAGGTAAGAGGGCTTGTTTTTTTTTCTAAAGGGTTGGGAAAGAACAAGGAGGATCATTTTGGGAGTTGAAAGTAGATTGCTGGCTGAACTGCTGTGGCACGGCAGGAAGCAGCTTGGTGATGTAGGAGACCAGAGCTACAATGCATTTTCTTTGTGTATGGGACACCAAGGGCTCAAGTGGTGTAACAGTTGGATCTGGGTAAAAATGGTCAGTCACTTTCTTGCTCTGCCGCCACTGTTAATACATAACCCATGAAAATATGTTTCATAAAAGTGAGTCCTTCTAGTAATTGAAGTTAATTTTTTGAAGTCAGTCACTGAGGTCACAAAGCTGGAAACAGGCTGTACCGACACTGGATGCTACATGAGTGCCGAGCTGTGAGCAGGCAGATCACAGCGTGGTCCTGGCTGAGTTGTGCACATCCATGTTGCTGGTTGGAGAACACCTGGACTTGCACCGGGGGTGTCTGCCCTACATGTGGGGAAGGCCAAAGTTACCCTGGGACAAGTGCCGTTAAGCTCCCAGGACTTCCTCAGGTTCCAAGCAACTGGGCTGCCTAAGTGCTTTTGTGCAAACATTTTAGACACAAGGCTTGAACACAATCATAGAATTCTGCTTGAATCAAAGTAGATCCATAACTCTTCATGTATCTCCTCTGCTTTACAGGCTACCTCCCTAATTCCCCTGTTTATCTACTTGTGATGTCCTCTCTATCCTGTCCTAGGATACAACATTATCAGTAGGAAAACTTTTTTTTATTTCACTCCTGCATCACAGAATATAATCTTGGATGAATGTGTTTTGTCAGTTGTCCAACCTAAAATCATTCCTTGTCTCAAGCTTGGGCAGGGGTCGTTGCTTGTTTGGTTTTGCTTTGTCTCACAGCTAATTGGGTGCATTGCTTTAAGTTTAACAACCTTGGGCTAAAACTACTACACAAAATTGCATAGCCTTCTACTTTCATTTGTGTGAAGGGTGTGGAATACAAACTACTCTTTCTTTATTTGCCTTCTTGGGGACATAAAACCATCGTGTGAGGGGGACCAGGAGAGACACTTCTTGGTGTGGCACAGTTAATGCTGTTTGAAATGATCTGTCATGGAACAACCTTTGGAATAATTGCTGTGACGCTGGTTGTTGGGAACATGCGTGAATTAGCCTCAGCTAGTATTAGCTGGTGTCATTACCTTATGAATGTGGGGGGTCCCGTGCTGCTGATACGGTTCACTAATTGTTGCACATTAAGCACTGGCTAAATCCTGAAGTCCATATGCAGAATAGGACCAGACCTTTCAGCTTGGTGTACAGTGGGGATCTTCCAGGTCTGAACTTTTTTTTCCAAAGGCTAGCATGCTCCTGACTCTGTAATACAGAGACTATCTTGGCAGTATCCCAGCTCAGCTGATGGGTCAGGTGCAAGGAAGGGGTGGTCTGGAAAAAATGGTGAGGCTGGAACGGCCCTTTGCAGCACCCACTGGTGCTTTCTGAAAAGAATAAGTGTATGTTTTCTTGAGAAATCCTTTCCTCTCTGAGCTGGATCTTCGAAAGGCTGGTCCATCTTGGATCCTCGGGAGCTGGGGTACAGCAGCAGGGAGCCTAGAGCTTCTGTGACAGCAGTGCACAGATGGCAATGTGTGCTCTCCGGGAGGTCCCACTGCCCATGGTAGGAGATACACAGCACTCAGGAAGAAGAACCAAGGTTAATTCTCTGAGTGGCCAAATCCTGCTGCCAAGACAGATGGAGGCAGGGAAGCCTCACAAAGAGAACCAAGACACATCCCTCTTACTTTAGCGCTCGCCTGTGTATTTTATTCCAAGGTGGAACAAGTCATCCTCAGTTCTGGACAAATTATAATAAGCAGGGAGCCAACATTTGGACAGTTTCGGTGCAAGGGGGGACTTCATGGTTGATCATCATACTCAGCTGTTAGCTAGGACAGCAAATGCTTGATATTATAAGCAGGTGAAGATTTTGAGTGGCTTCTGCTTTATCACTCTCCCAAACAAAAACACACAGATATATGGGAGAGTCAGATAGTCAGTGTGTAAGGAACAGATTTAAACCACATGAAGAGACTTTTGGTTTTTCTCTAAAACCTTGCACGCACTGGCTAGTCCTTCCCTTTGTGTGTATTGTTAATTATTAAACAAAATTGATCTCTATATAAGCAGTTCTTCTGTGAAGCCCACTTACCTAATCCTGAAGGTAGGAGTTTGCTACTCTTGACATGTCAGCAGCTTCTAATGGCTTGAGATACTGGCTGAGTTTTGCACTGAGGCATGAAAGCTCACACCCCTCACATCTCTTTTTCCCATGGGAGGTAAAATGGCTAGACCTTGTTCACAGAGATATTTCAATCTTTAATGCACTGCTTTAATCTATTGTCTGAAAAAATATTTTATAATTGTGTGCTCCACCAGTCAATTTATACTACATTACCTTTTCAACAGTTTCTACTGTTGAGCATTGGTTCAATGGCCCTTTTTTTTTTCCTCTCTGCTGCTCCATTCCACACATTATAAGTACATTATACAGTGACTTACAGAAGCCATGCATGACTGCTATTGCTTGATGGCTATTGCTGAACATCTGGTTTATTCATAGGGGAACTATCATACTCGAGAACAGGTAGACTCATGCTAGAAATTTGAGGCTGAGGCAAGCCCATTTGCAATCCATGTTGCTATTCCCTGAAATCCTTTATTGTAATACCCAGGACAGGAAACACAGTGAACTTAAAATGTAGTAAATTAGAAATATATACTCTTTCTATAGCTCATAACTAAGAATACCACGTTCAGTAAATATATTTTAACAAAGATCTTCTATGATTCAGGAAAAGATAAAGATTTTTATGGAGAACAAGAACACCTGCATTTATATTGGACAGCATAAAAGTGTCTAAAGATTATAATTTATCTTGCTTCCAATCACTAGCTTTGTGAGCTTCACAAGAGGCATTGCCAAAGACAGGTTATTCCAGATTCATTTATTGCTTCTGCTCATGGAAACATGAATAAGGATAGATGGGCTTTATGGAGTTGTTGCAGTACAAAAATCCTTATGTGTTTGGTTGGCTGTGAATTTTAATTTCTTTTTGTAAACTAACCCTTTTCAGGTGTAATTGAGTCTGTGCTGTCATTGTACATCTTCAGGTTTTGAAATGTCACCACTTGGAAAGGACCCTCTGGAAGCCTTGAGGACCTTAGCCTTTTCAGAAAACCCAGGTTTACAGCAGTCTGCTGCCCTCTATTACTTGCACGTGAGTCAGCACAGTAAGTTATCTCAGTGCATTAGAAAATTTTCACATGATTATAAATAAAAGTATTATTTCCAACTGTGAAATCAGAGAATCAAAGTTCTTTTTTTTTTCTTTCATGCTATGTTGTTTGCTAAGGAAAATGGAAATGCTGTCATTGTGTGTGGGCAGAGTCATTCTGGGTTTTGCTATGAGGAGATCTCTCTCATGATTATAAAAGACTGTCATTTATGTAATTGTAATATTTCTGTAAAACTCAGCAGAACCCAAAGTAGTTAGAGTCAGTGTATAATGAATCTCTTGAGAGCAACACAGTCAAAATATGGTGGAAGGAAATGGACATAGTGATCATTTAAGGTTTTATATTATATAATTTTTGGAAGAGGACAAAGCTCTAGAGGCCAGATTGTAGTGGAAATTTATGAAGGAAATGTTCTTCTTTGTCCCAACTATTCCGTGGGAGCACTTGGCTCCTGAGGTAATTTGTAAATGGTTAGAGGTCAGCCTAGATATGCCAAATAAAATTCCAGCAAGAGTTTGGGTCCTACAAAAAAGTAGACATACCAGCAACAAGCAGGCTGTAATTTATTTACTTATTTGTTTGTTTGTTAAGTTTACTTCAAGGAGAATATTCTGGCACTTGGCTTGATAACTTTATCCCATGTATTTTTTGCTGGATAAAAAGTGCAGATAGCTACAACACGAGGACCTGCTATGAGTTGGAATGACTTGTTTGGTAGCGAGGCATATTGCTTCCCTTCCCATGATGTTTTTGAAGTACTTGTTTATTCAAAACCTTTTCAGGAAACTTTCCCTGTTTTGCTAGTAGCAATGGAATTTAAATGAAGGGGAATATCACTCATACCTACCAAACTATATACGGTAGCACCTGAGGCTTAAGACCAACAAGAGAAAAATGTGACTGCGGTGAACGATGAGACTCCTGAATATTTCCTCTCATTCTTGTAGTGAATGTCCCCCTACCTGTGGAGCATCTGGAACCCTTCTATGCCTTACTACGGTCTGCTGACCTGGAGGTGCAGCAGATGTCTTCCTTGTCCCTTGTCAACTTCTTGCTGGAAGGAAATAGTGAGTAATTAACAACACATCTCTCTTCAGGTGAAAAAGTATCTCTTCAGTCAGACTCAGACAGAAGGAGGGCACATCTACACACCCATGTCTACTCAAATCCAAATTCCTTTTTTTGTGTTTCTGGTAGGACAGGTGTGAGTCTGTTTCTGTCTGCAAGCCACATAGATTCTGGTGGCACCAGGATATATCAGATCCCTCCAGCTAGATTATGTCATGTGGCAAGAGATCTTGGATCTGCGTGCAAAGGCTGATAAATTGTTCCCAGACTGGTGTGGGAACAGCTATACTATTCTCATTCTTGGATCAAGAGCCCACCACTTACCCTTTCAAGTGACAGATACAGCTCTTAGAAATAAACTCTGCCTATGAGACAGTGCTCATTTTCTTGTTATTTATTAACTGGACCTTGGTCTTAAATTGCTTGCAGATTTAAAAAAAAAAAGTTTAATAGAATTCATTTTCTTCTGTGGCTAATGGGGCAAATGTAATTGAGGTAGCATCTGGGAGCTGCAGATGAAAAACTTGCCAGTAAAGTTTATGTTGATAGACAGGGCATGAACACCCCACACCTTGTCAATGGAGTCTTTGTTGCATCTACTATTGTGCTCCCTGGCACCTGGGCCACCATGGGTATTCCATCACGCTATCCCATAACATAATATCCTGACCAGACAGGGTCAGTCTTCAATGAAGCTGGCTTTTTTCTTTTCTTTTTTTAAGGATCTTGCTGCAAATAATATCATGCCGCTATTTACAAGTGAAAAATAATATTTAAAGGGTAGACTTCAGAAGAAAAAGAGCGGGGGGGCTGAGTAAATTGTGAACCTATTAGAAAGCTGCAGTTGCACTTTCCAAAATGAACCTTATGTTTGAAAACAGAATTGCTAGCAGAAATATTTGGGACCTTCTGAACTAGAACCTCTGAACATCTCTTATACTCTTTCAGGAGTCTGAAGAGGAATCAAACAAACCAAGCTAGGGACTGCGAGTGCCTTTCAGGCTGTTTCCATCTTAGATCTATTTTGCATAATCATAATATAGACCCCCAAAGCAGTCAAAGGAAGATATATTCTTTTCACAAAGGCATTAACTGTTTACTTTTCTGTTTGTCCATTTTTACTTGAATTTATGAATAGCTGACAAAGAATTAGTTGTCCAAATGGGATTACTTGAGCCAATTCTGGATCTGCTTGAGTCAGAGGATCCCACTGTCCAGTGTAATTCCTGTGCCTGCGCCATGACTTTGGCCGTTTCAGGTGAGTGTGCTGTTCTTTCCCTTTATCCTCTGCAGTGAATTCATTCAATTCTTATCTTATATTTCAAAGTGAAACAACATATTTGCAATTGGATTAAGAGTTACAAGATGCAGCAGCAAATTTTGGTATTCCCACATTATAAATTCAACCTCTTGAGATTCTAGTTAAGATCTTTTTCTCAGTGTTTCTGACCTTAGTTCTCTCATGGTTACAAACCTTTTTCTGATTTCCAACCTAAATATATTAATGACCAGCTTATCTTGATTAGCGTCTACATTGGCTTTTGCTTCAGTAGTTCTGCCTCTCTGATGTCTATGCTGACAAGCTCTCTTCATTTTACTAGACTGAAAAAGCCAAGCTCATTTAAGACTCCTCTTGTAAGCGAGGCTCTCCATTCATCTCATAGCCCTTCTGGGTGTAAATGATATGTTCCAGAAATGGAACGTAGCAATTGCATCTGCTGTTTTGTGATACCACAGACCTCAGGCATCATTACAGTCCCAAGATGTACATAAATGCTGCAGAAGTTCCATTTTGAATTCATCTTTTCTGAAAGAGAGGTCACCAGAAATGTGCAGTATTTCAGCTGGGGTCGCACCTGTGTCTTTTATTGTGGCATCCATGGAAATATGTTTTGTGTTACATCTCATTATAACACTTGCATTTTTCGTGATTGCATCATGGTGATGTTGTTATCCTGCAGCTGACTTAATCACTTAGCCTTTTTCCTCCTCTGCTGCTATTTTCCAGCAGACGCCAATTAAGGGTTTGCAACAAATGTTTCCAAGTGCATGTCCCTGCATTTTGTACTATAAGGTTTCATTCTGTTTCGGTTGCTTCAGTCTTCTAACTTGTCTGTTATTTGTAAAATATTCCAGTCCTCCCCTGCATTGGCAGTGCTGCACTCACACCTTTGCATTAACTTTCTGGTTCAAAACCAACTACAGACCAGTCCTTGTGGAATTCCACTCACAGCCTCCTTCCAGGTGGTCATTCCCATTCAGCAAAACTTGCCGCCAGCTTGCTTTTAGTCTGTTCCTTATCCATCATGTACTACTTGTATTTGTCACCAACTTCTCTTACTTAACTATGCATATTTCTTATCATGATATAGATATTTTCTTGGTATCAAGACAGATAAGTTCAACCACAGTTACCAAAAGAAATGTTATCAGGTTAGTCCGGCTTATTCTAGCTTTTGCAAACTGTGTAAATTGTTAATTTTACTTTAATTAATTACTGTACAAATTGTGTAAAGGCCTGTATAAAAGCCATGAATAACATTTCTTTCCCTTCCTGTAGTGTTTATTCCACCAGCTTCCCTCTCCAGTGTGGGAAGTTGCAATCAGGTCTCCCAGAAGGCTGAGAGAAGCATGGTGAAAGTGTTACTTTCTCATTTAAGTATTTATGTTGCAAAGGGGGAACGGATAAGCAGGATCCAACTACATGAAAATGCTGATTTGCATTTTATCCTATCCTTTTTTTATTTGCAGGTTTTTAAACACTTTTCCCTTTGAAACTTATTTTTACGCATTGCATATTGTTATGGTCGGGTTAAGAGCTCTGTGTGGAATGCAAATTGCTCATTTAAACGTCTAATTTAGGCATGGCATCGCTAAGATTTTAGGTACCTGGCACTAGAAGGACTTTCTTTATGTACGGTCAGTGAAGTTATGCCCCTGAAGCTCTACAGAGAGATATCCCTTCACCTGTTTGAAGCAGCCCACGGAGAAGGCAACTTACTTGGGGACCTAAGGATGTTCCTTAGTCCTGAGGGCACTCTGGCCCTTCTAGATGTCTCTGTCTTTAACCCAGAGTACAGGGAACTCCAGATCCAATCCACCTTCATTCTCTGTTGAGGGTGGTCACCTAATGCCTTTGCACACTCCGTTAAGTGTCAGTGTACTTCTGAGCACAAGTAGTTCAAATTGAGGACTCAAGAAGATTTCAAACTAGATAGGAAGGCATCTGCTGAACATAGAGGTAGGCAGTCCTGCAAGTGCATAGGCTGGGTTTCTGCCTGGGATTTGATCAGTGTTGAGGATCTCTGTCCTAGTTTAACTAGGATTTAGATAGACTGCATCCATTTATTTCTTTTTCAGACTGTATTTAGCTACCACAGCAATGAGACTAAAGCAAGAGGCAATTCTCTAGAGTTTATTTTAATTTTAACTCATAGACTCTGATATCTTAAAGGGTCTGCTTGAGGAAAGAATTCTGTTCAGTCATGTCCTTCAAGTAAGCCTTTCATGCTTCAGAGTGGTTTAAAAAAGATAAATATGGAAGCACAACCAAATTAGGAATATCCTTGGATAGCTTTAAGGTGACTAAAATTCTAAGTCCAAGAATGGTAATGTGTCTTAATTCTGCTGTAATGAGCATGCAAGACTGCATACAGAGTGAAGCTGTTTAGCAATGTGACTGCAAGTTATACGTAAGCTGGGTTGTCTGGTACTTACCTGCTGCAATAGGTAGCCAAAAATAAAAACAGCAAACACACACATTCAGATGAAAAGGATTTGAAGGTCAGTTTGTCCCAACACCAGCATTTGTCCACACAGCAAAAGGACACATGCACATTTGCAATTATCTGCAGCTTTTCAATCTGTGAGTGAAAGTAATCTGTTCTGGGATAAGAACTTTTCTCAGTGTACGTAGGAACAGAACTAAACATTCACAGCAAGGGTTTGGGGAGGCCTGAACATTTGCATTAAGCTAAACAAGGAGGATGCACTGAGTGTAGAGGATATTCCAAGTTTTACCGACAGGAGAATTTTCAAGCACACAAATGGCAGAGAGTGGAAAGAAAGAATTTATAAATGCAGGTGTCAAGGTGAGTTATTCAAACCCGGCTTGAGTAGACGTTATTGATTTCCCCACTTTAGAGTAGCATCTGAATACGTGGTTCCCTTCTAAAAGCACTCTAGGGGGGATCAGTGGAGGGACTGCATTACTTAGATAAACAGGTGGTCCAGGAGAGAAACATAATCTAGCCTGCCACGTCTCTTATGGAGATCATAGTACAGTTACACATCTTGGTGAGATAGATATGCCCATCCATTCTGTCATAAATTGACAAAACAGAGCGTGTTCAGCCACATTATCTGACCAAAACGAGAATGAGAATGGAGAGAAGGACAAGGGAAAATGACATATGTAAAAATAAATCCAGCAAACCCACAATAATGGGCAGTAACAAAGACTGCAGAGGAGAACTTGTCAGCTAGTGAATGACCCAAGGGAAAAGAAAAAACAATAATGTTTTTTTATTTTGGCCGCAGAGGTTTCCACCGTGTATAGAAATAATGGCTTTGTTCTCTTAACTCTCTAAGTTAGTTGGCACCTGAAGAGTTCATCTCATCCAAATACCTTCATATTTCTTGCTTTCTTCTGCTTCATGTTTCTCTCAGCAAACTTCCAGAGGCTGGCCATTGTTTAAACTGTCTAGGAATGTAAGTAACTGAAGCAATACTCAGCTAAAACCCCTGTGGTCTTCAGTGGCAGTTTGGCTCATATAAACAATGGAAGATGTAGACTATGGGCTTTGCTTTTTCTTTTTACAAAATAACCTGCAGAATACTATGATATTAAGAGAATTCTTCATTGGTCTAATTCCCATTTAAATCTCATCAACTTCAAAGAACACCACTGCCAACACCTTATTTTTTCAAAATTATGCCACTAGAATGCTTAAGATACAAATACAGATAACGTATAGATATAAATAAGACAGTAAAGGGGAGAGGACCATAGCTGTCTCAGTGTGGCCACAGGTTATTTGCTGCAAATGTTTTGATGGCCTCATGGTAGAGGGGTAGGGCAGAGCATAACGGGAGGATTCTCTTCTATACGGCGCAGCTGAGGCTACCTTCAGTAAGTCCAAAACAAAAGGAGTAGAACTAAAAGCAGATTTTTTTTCTAAATTGTATTATATTTCGTAGCATTGTATAACTTTATCATATGTAATATGTACACAGTATATAAATGTTATATTGTATTTTATAGTATATAGTTAATTTTATAGCATTAAGTATTATAGTTATTTTTTCCCCAGTTTTTCATCCAAGAGCCTCAAGGGACTCTGCAGATCTTTCTTGAATTCTCCTTGTACTCCAGGATGTTGAATACAACTGTACAACTTAATACACTGCCATGCAAGGAAGCATCACCACTTCAGAGAAGAAACATCTTTTCAAATGCCAGTGGTTAAATCAAATTCTGTCTTTAGAAACCTCTGCATTGTCTGTAGCTGTCAAAGGAGTGACACAGGCACATTCAAAGAGAGAAATTGGCCCTGAATATACCCTGCTAAATTAATTCAGTCTTACCTGCAGTTAATTACGTAGCTTTTGGTTGGCACGCTGCAAATAGCTTGATCAGACATACCAGGCGTACAAGACAAGTATGACACCTTGCTAACCTGTTTAAGGGGACTTGCAGTCCTTTTATTTTAATCATCCCAGTCACAAAACAAAAGCATTGAACCAGCTGTGAGCTATGGCTAATCCAGAAGTCACGAGTTAGTTTCTTTCCCATTGAGCTCCTGGAATTTTTAACAGGTTCCTTTGAGCATGCAGAGAAATTTTGGTATATACCAAGGAACCAGAGAGGCGAACGCCAAAGAAATCTAGTCCTGCTAGTTGTCCTGCTCCTGGCTCACAGTAAGATGGCAATGTCTTCTTTCTTTCTTTCTCTGATTCTTTTCTCCAGAGTCCAACCGAGAGGCTATTGGCGCTGCTCAAGGAGTTACACCCCTACTGTCTCTTGCCAATTCCTACGATCCTAGAGTCCAACAAAATGCAGTTGGTGCTATTCTCAACCTCACACAATCAGGTACTTTCTGACTAATGGTTTATCTAAAATTGCTGAAAGAAAATTTCTCATTGACAGAAAAATAATTCAAAAGGGTTAAGGCAAGAATAAAAGCGTATCTGAGCAACAAATTATTTCCTTTGCATATGGCATTCATGTTGATACTATAGGCTGATGATTTAAGTTTGGCCTCTCTTTAGCTAATACAGGCCCTTTTTTGCCTAGTACTGAAAGAGAAAGGCTTGATTTTCAACCCCAAGGGGCTGATGTACAAGTGCTTAAATCATCAGTCAAAGAAAGAAACAAAATAATCATTTGTTAAAGAAATAACTTGGTCTAAAAAGTTAGCAGCACATTTGGTACTTTGAAGCAATCTCAGAAGTTTATCCAAGGTCAAACTCTAGGAACATTTGACTTGTATCCCTAAGTTGATGTTGGAGGATGCAAAATATAACTATTATCAGCTAGACGTTAAAGGCTCCTGGGATATCTGCCAGCAGCTTTAGCAAAAGCAGTATTTGGTCCTCTGCAATATGTGAACTACCATACATTAACTCTGAAACAAACCAGCATTAAATCTCACCTACCTAGATGATACCATTATCCCACACAGCTAAATGATACAGTCGTGAGTAATGTTTCTTATCTTTATCTGGTGGAAGGGAATGGTCGGCAAGAACTTCTACACTTGGCTATTACACATCTGTTATTATTAAAAAAATTTTAAATAATTTGTTTTTTTAACACAGAAATCATGGTGAATATCGTACCTGAGGTTTTTCAGCTTCTCCAGCAATTCAGGTTCTCGGAACAGTCTTTAGCATAAAACCAGCAAAGGCTTAATCGATCAGATAGCCTGGTAGTCATTTTGCTGAAATGTCTGCATACTGCTGTGTTGCACAAGCTCTAAATTATATACTCTCCAGTCACACTGATTGGCATATATTTAGACAAGTTCACCACTCTCTAGAATCTAAAGATTGTGCATATCCCTTTTGAACGGTGCCTCCAGATGAGAGGGAGGAAGGGGGAAAGACACAGTAACAGCACTTTTTTTTTTTTTTTTTAAATGGCAGAGAAAATCCAACAGGTCCTATGCAAGGAAGGAGCCCTACCAGTTCTTGCCTTGCTGCTGGAATCTCCTGACTCAGAAGTGCAGGTATGGCTCAACCAGGTCAGATTTTTAAACAGTAACAGCGCGACTGTAAGAAAAGCACAAACCACAGCACGTAGAAATGAAAAAGTAGAGAGGAGGGAAGGTTTCTCTAGAGAAGTGGGGAAACATGTGAGAGCATCTTTGTGAAACTCAGCTCAGTCAGATAACGTATATTCAAAACACTCAATTTGTCTAGCTCCACAGGAGAAAGTTTATGACGCGAAGTGCATTTGCCAGCACACACTAACGCATGCACACAGTTGTTACGCGGTTACATTCTTGTGACTTTCAGATCATCAGACAAGTTGCAGATAGGCCTCTTCCTCTGTTTTTTTGCATCCTAACTTCAATCTTCCACTCTAAGCGATTTTACTAAGTGTTCTGAGAAGGCGTAACTTGCAAAGATTTTCTTCTTACTATTGTAAACGTCTGGGAAATCTTCCTATTTTATGCCTACCACAGACACCTCTTTGTGATTCTGCACACTTAACAGAAAGCCGGTCTTGGTTCAAAAGTATGCTGATGAAAAGCTATGAATCAGAGCTGTAAACCTTAAAATCCACTAGTTCGTTCATTCAGTCCTCTGAGTAGCATAAGATTGTTTCCTCCATTGGTTTTGTTGTCTCTATTCAGATTTCTTTGAGATGTCTGAAGGGATGGAGCCTCTGGAATTGCTTTCTGCAAACTGTTTCAGCGTTATCAGCTTTCTTTGAGATCCGTCTTAAAATTTCCTTCTCTGCAGTTCAACCTGTTTCTTCTAATTATACCTCCCTCATAATACATACTCTTATATGTATAATCCTCCCTAGCGTTAATGTTTAAATCCTTTGAAAGTGATCTCTTGGCATGCTCGGGCAATGACTATATCCAGCTTGAGTAAATCAATGTAAACATATAATACAGTAGATGCAGATGACCTAACTTAGGTGCCAGCAGCAGTGTCGTTGCAGCAGCACACTACATTCCCAAATACCCAGGGTCCTAATGGGTTTGTACAACATGCAGCGCCACAGCATGACTGCTCTTGTAGCTACAGCAGATTGCATCGCTTTTCCTGGAGGAAGCCCGCTTAGGCTGTTACCACATCTACCCAGTGAAACACCCTTAAGATGAAAAAGCACTTTATTTTCATCAGCTCTAAATCTGAGTATTTTTCCAATTTATTTTTATTCTCTTTGACATGTCACCACTGTGACCTCCTCTCTCTCTACTTTTTTCTTGGTTCTCTGCAGTATTACAGCTGTGCTGCCCTAAGCAACATGGCAGCCAACATTCAGCACCACGAAGCCATGCTGAGACCC